AGACTGGTTCTAACTATGTAGCCCTTTCTGGACTGGCTATGAACTCACAGAGATCCAACTGGTTCTACCTTTAGAATCTTGGAATTAAGGTATGTATTTCTATACCCAGTCTGTATTTTGGATATTAATCTCCTGTTGTGTGAGTTGTTGACACAATTTTTCTCTTATTCTATAGGCTACTGCTTTACTTCATTGTTTAATTTATAATGCAGAAACTGTCTGGGGTGGGTGGGGAGGGCACACTCACCTATGCATGTGCATATGGAAGCCAGAGGTCAGTATCAAATGTCTTCATTCTATAGCTCTGCACCATACTTCTGAGAACAGTCTCTCACTAAACCTAGAGCTTCCATTTTATCTAGACCAGCTGGCCAGCAGGAACCCTGGGATCCCTTTGTCTCCAATGCCGCTTCCCATGATTACATACACACACTAGATTTTACATAGCACTTTTTACATGGGCGCTGGGTAGTAACTCGGGTTCTTATGCTTGCAAACACTTCATATACTAAGCCATCTCACCAGACCCTAAAAACATTATAATTTCATGCACTTTAATTTGTCAGTTCTTATTTCCTGTGTTTTTTACATGTATTCAGACTCATACCTATGTCTTAATGAATTTTTCCTAAAACAGTTTAAGTTTTGGAGGTTTATATTAAAATCTTTTATCTAGTTTGTATACATTTTGACAGGGTTGAGAGCCAAGGATCTAGTTTCACTCTACCATGTGAGAAGCAGTTTTCAAGTACTGTTTGTTAAAGATGCACTTTCTATAAAATTTTTGAACCACTCTTGGAAATCAGATGGCTACAGTTCTGTGGGTTTGTTCTGGGTCTTCCTTTCTTCCCAGTGCTTCCACTCTGGTTTTGTCCCAGTACTCTGATGAATCCTTGTTAGCATGACTCAGTTCTATACTTGGAAATCAGGTATTTGATACTCCAACATTGCTATTTCTGCTCACAATTCCTTTAGTTATTTGGGTTCCATTTTGTTATAGGATTAGTTTTTCTTTGAAGAATGTCATTGGAATTTTGGTAAAGACTGCATTGGACTATAAAGGTTTCTTTCATTGGTGTTTTACAGTTTATTGTAGATCTCTTTCACTTCTACAGTTAGAATTATCCTTTACTTTGAAGCTAATATGAAAGGGATTGTTTCCCTGAATTCCTCCTCAGCATGATTGCAATTGTATATTTAAAAGTGACTGTATTTGTGTGTTGATTTTGTATCCCATTATGTTTTGGAAATACTTACCAGATTGAAAAGTTTGATTGGGGAGTCTTTATTGAGGTCTTTTTTTAAAAAAAAAAAATTGTATTTGTATGTGTCTGGGGTTTTGTCTCCATGTAATGTCTGCACCATGTGCATACCTGGTATTGATGGAATACAGAAGAGCTCACCAAATCCCTGGGAACTGCAGTTACAGACAATTATGAGCTGCAATGTGGGTTCCAGGAATTGAACGCTGGTCCTCTGGAAGAGCAGCCAGTGCTCTTAATTGGCTGAGCTACCTCTCTAGCCCCTATCAAGGTCTTTTTAATATCAATTCATTTGCAAGTAAGGGAACTCTCTTAAAAAGTTGTATACATACTATATCTTTCTCATACATTATTGATCTAGATAAGAATTCCAGTAATGTATTAGGTAAGAATGAAAAGAGTGAACTCCCTTGGCTTTGATTTTAGGGAAAATGTTTTTATCTTTCTTAATTTTGTATGTTATTTGTCTCTCTCTGTGTGTGTGTGTGTGTGTGTGTGTGTGTGTGTGTGTGTATGTGTGTGAGAGAGAGACAGAGAGGGGGGAGGGAGGAATATACCATAAACAAGTTGGTTTCATTCCAGAGATTTAGGAATAGTTCAACATAAACAAATTAATAAGTATAACACATACATACATATGTAACACTCAGGGGCGTAATTCTCATAATTATAATCTTATTGTTTCAATAGATACAAAAAAAAAGCCCTTGACCAAGTTCGACATTCCTTTATTTATAAAAGCCCTGAAGAAATTTGAAATAGAACGTAACTACCCTCTATCTATATTTAGATATGTGGTAGGTGACAGACAGACACACATGGAAGCCCTAATTTCTTGAATGCTATCATCCCATGCTTTTCTGGCTTCTCAAGCCTTTGTTGAAAAGACAAATGTTATTCTGGTGGAAATGTCTTTGTAAGTACATTGACATTTTCCTCTAGTAGCTTTTGCTGTGTTGTTTGACATTTTGTTTTTATTTTTACAGTCTTGCTGTTACCCTTCATGTATTCTCAATGTATTATAACTCCAGTGACCAAAATCCTTCTGTTTCACCTTCCTAAGTGCTAGGATTAACACATGTATGACACCACACCTGGCTTTCTCACGTATTTTGGTATTCTTCCTTTTCCCACTCTGCCTGGTGTGACATGGAGCGAGCGCTTCTATTCCTGCCGTATTTATTAGGGATTCTTAGTGCCTCCAGTCCCACTTTGTCTATATTATTGGTTTGAGAAATTTTTTTTACTCTGTAATTGGATATTTTTTACCTATGCCCTTAGCTTCAAACTAAACTCTTCCATTACGTGTACACTTAGTTTTGGTCTCTCGATTATATCCTAAAGTTTTCAAAGTCATAGGCATCTTGTTTTATATTTTGTTTTTACTGATCTCTAAATATATTCTTGACCTTGACTTTGTTTTCAATCCCTGTGTTTTTTCTTCTGCTTGATCTATTCTATTGGTGATAGTTTCCACTGGTTTGTTATCATTTATTATTATTACTATTGTGTGCTATTTAGTTTCAGTTTCCTTGCTGAATTTTCAGTCCATGTTACAGACTTTTATTTCTAAGTCCTGAATTGATGTCCTCTTTAAAGTCATTGATCAGGTTTAAAAGTAGGCTTTTGAATTCTTTGTATTACATTTTAACTATTTCAGCATCTTTGGTTTTACCTATTGAGGAGTTATGATCTTTTAGATAAGGAATCATATTGTCTACATTTTTCATATTTCTTGTGGTTTTATACTGTAACTTAGACATCTATTGCCATATATATGTATTTTTCTTTCCTTTATATATTTGTAACTTTTAAGGGGATAGTTTTCTCTCAGGTTTCTGATTCATACTATTTAAAGGAGAGGAAGCAGAGATTAATAACAAAACAATATTTGTATAGAAAACAGTTATTAGAATGTATTAAAATGCAAATGACTACCTATATCCTTAGTAAAGTTATAAAATATCTCAGATCCTAACTATAAAAAATGTTGTTAATGCTGAAGTTACAAGTATGGAGGGTTTGGGAAGGGGTAAGAGAATGTGAGGAAGGAGTAATAGTAAAAGCATATATAGGAAAATGTAACAGAGGTAGGAAGAGGACTGAAACTACAGAGACAGACAAAGCCATCATAAAAGCAGAAAAGCAATACAATAGCCAGTGTTTCCTCCTGCTTAGACACTGTGGATTGTCCTTTTAATTTATGCTGTGAGTCTTCCACCCCCTGGTTCACTTGTTAATCCACTTCAGGACCGTCCCCACAGTCTGCAGCTGTCTCCTGATCTTGCCTGGGAGCTCTTTTAGCTTGGTAGTAAAGTGTGAAAAAGGAAGTTTTCTTAATCTGGTGACTAACTCTGTCTTTAGTGTACCCATGTCTTTAAGATATGAATTTAACTCTGGCTTTAATAACTTGGGTGACGTTTTCTGATTGTCTATAATGGAATTATTATGAACCCCTGGCAACAGGTAGGAAGGGGGATTGTACTTTAAGTCATGTACACATCCTGTTTACAATGTCAACCTCAATCCTCACCTCAGGTTATTAATTTCTTACTATTCTTGCCCAGTCATTCTTTCATTTTCTCATCCATTCTATTTATTATCATCCTGCCCTGTTTGTCTACATACTTGCTTACCAGTCACTCCATCTTTTCTGTGTCATCAGTGTGAACTTGTGGGTACATGTGGTTTTTTGGGGTTGTGTTGTATAGTTTTGAGACTGTCATGTACACATTGACTTGGACCTCATTATGTGGCATAGAATGGCCTTGCAGTTTTCATCATCTTGCCTCCACTTTCCGAATGTGGAGATTGCAGGTATATGTATGTCACCATTCCTCAAAACCTGGGGCATTGTGAATGCTTACCAAGTACTCTTATCCGCTTAGCTTCATCCCTATCCCACGCATGTTTCCAGTAGTTTATTGTCCTTATTGAGATGGGGATGTAGATGAGTTGGTAAAGCACTGGTCTAGCATTCACAAAGCTTGGGTTTAATTCCCAGCATACCATAATCCAGGGTCGCCAGAGAAGGAAACAGGAAGATCAAGTCAAGATTATCCTTGGCTAAACAGTGAATTAAGGCCAGCATAGGACACATAAGACCCTGCTTAAGAGGGAGGGAGCAGGGGAGGAAGGGAAAAGGAGGGAGCGGGAAGAAGGAAATTAAAAAGTTCTATACTCAAAAATTCCCACATTTGGCAGAAGACACTTCTAAAATCGAGCTCCTGCACTGGTGTTCACCACTCATCATATACCCCGTGTTCCTGAGCATGTATCTCTAATATATATGTGTAGTACATTTCATCACTACCCTCATCTGGGTGTTTTAAAAATCACCCTGACATTTCATTTTCTTTAAAAATTAGTTTAATTTACTTACAAAATATCAACATACATTTTTTTTTTTTTTTTTTTAAACCAGGGGCTTGATCATAGCTCAATGTAGAGTGCATGTTTGGCATTTAGGGGGCCCATGTTAAATTTCCAGCAGCAAAGAAAACAATAATTATTTTTTTTAAAAACTGAGAATAAGAGAAATTTTAGAGTATACTGCTGTTTTAAAAAATTATTAAATCCTAACTTTTATTGTTACTATCTATTGTTATCTAATTTGTAAACTGTATTCAAAATTTTTCATATGTAATTATTCTAACTGTATATAACTAGCCTTCAATTGTACTCAAAAATATATTGGTAGTGAAATCTTTCTTCATGTTTTCCCAAATGCAGCCTTACCTGAGGAGTCCAGTAAAAAGTAGGGCTCAATCTGTAGAGTTTTCTTTTATGGAAACTCTGAAGGGGCCTTGTCCGGGCAGCTGTACTCATGATAGCCAAGGATGGAGATTTCAATCTTGTCCTGTCTTTTCTCCTTTTCTTACTGTGCTTCTGATTAAGTAGCCAGCTACTGGAGGAAGAGAGCTCATCTAAATTCTCCGAAGCACTGAAATGTATGAAATAATTGGAGATGGGGGGATAAAATAAAATGAACAAATGACAAAGAAAACTAAATGTAAATTTTCTTGGTTTATTATGATAAAAATATTCATTTGTTTAGCCAATTTTGTGATAACAATAGGTAAAATAATTGACATTCATGGAGAATTACATAGTAAGAATATAGAAACAATTTCTATTTTTTGATGCAAAAGGTACATCTTCAAAGTTAAAATGTTTTAGTGTAAAATGAATGTTCCTTGTAAATCAGTAATTCACATACAAGACAATTTTAACTATTTATGCCAATTTCTCTTTGCATGTGGATGAAATAAATCAAAAACAGAGGTTTAAAAAGTTCCAAGGTCGTCTCACTGCCTCATTAGTTCCTCTTAAATAAGCAAGCTTAACAAGCATACCAAGTTTCAGTGAATTCTGAAACTACTTCTAAGTTACAATTACAAAGTAATGAAATAAGCTACATATGAAAAATATAATTTTATAATTACTCTTTATACCAATTTTTAATACGATATTTAAGGTTTTGTGAACTAAAATTCTCAGAAAAAAAGACATCTATTTTGAATATTTTACAAACTGACAGGTTAAAACTTCGTGGTTATGTTGGAATATTCTACATCCAGAGAAAATTATCTTGGGGTATATTTAGTCCCATAATAGCCATTTGTTACCCATCTCTGACTCTTAGTTAGTTTTATTTTTGACTAGCAGTCAAAAAAAAACCCTTTGGAATATATTAATAACTAAATTATTACCAGACCACCAGCTCCCACCAATGCACTAAAATGTAAAGAGACAGCACCTGTAAATGGTAACAGTTGCTCTGCTTTGACTAGGGCTGGCCTACTTGAATCTCCAACCCTGTATTTGGTAGGGGCCTTGATGTATGTATGATTTTCTTTTGTTCATAAAAATGTTCATGAAATTGTTTCCACGGGGAATATATCATGAATCTGTTCCTAAGTGTAATTACTCATAATAAACTGTCTTAGAAATTTTTCATGTTGATATACTTCACTTACATTATTAGTATATTGCATTTAATATATTACTATATAATATAGTAATATATTTATGTATTAATGCAAAGTAAGCTTTTCAACAACAGGTACCAATTTCAACTTTATGCAGCCCAACACTATTTGACTAGTAGTCTAACATTAAGAAGTGAATTTCATATAGGCTATATAGATACGGAGTAAAGTGATAAACAGCATACTGGCTGAAGGGTATTACAGCAGGGTATACAGCAGGGCATTATGTCCCACTCAACAACTGCTGGGACAACTGCTGACTACCCTTTGCTTGATTATAATTACATCTCCATATCATTAGCCTTGCAAATTTGTTTGCTTCTATCATGTATCAGACACCATGCTACATCTGAAAAACCCCACGAGAGCAGAAAAGCTAGATTGGTCCTATTCAAGGACACAGGACACTCCTTCCTGAAATCCCTCACCTTTCCTCTACCTGAACTCAAGAATAGTCCTTCTTTTACCATTTTAAGTTTGGACATAAAAAGAATTATTGGAGATTTGGAATATTTTCTTCCTGAGAAGCCAATTATTACTGCTTCACCATGTAACTCTGTCTTATAATAAACTTGCTCCAAATGCCTTATTGTTCTTCAATGGAGACAAGAACCTGGAAACATTGAGTAGAGGTATCTGTTTCTTCACTATCTTTGGCATATCACTAACTAAATAATGCTTTATTTGACCTAAGAACAATTGGTGTTTGCAGATAAATATAAGACACAGTTCTTGTAAGGGCTAGAGAAATAGTCTGTAAAATACTTGCCATGGAAGCACAAGAACCTGAGTCTGGATCCCCTAGTACCTTTGGGAAAGCCAAGTGCAGCAGCAATGCCTCTGCTTGCCTTTGTTTTGTTTTGTTTTGTTTTGTTTTCATAACCCCAACAGGAGACAGACTTAAATGAAACCTAAACTCAGCAGCATGGATGCACTCCAGACTCACTGAAGGTAAGGTGGAGAGTGCTTGAGGGAGACATGCATGTCTGGCCTCCACATGCACGCACATACAACCACAGGCACACATACATATACCATATGCCTGCACACATCCATGCACACACAGAAGATACTGTTTTCTCTAACAGTATTTATTATTGCTTTTAAATCATATTACAGCTACTATATTTACTCTTTTAGAGTGGATGAAACAAAAAAATTCAAGAATGCTTACACAGCAATGGGAAAGCAAAAAGATCTAAAGAAGCCTGGGTAGTTTATGTTGATGAAAACAAAAAGAAGATGGTAACTATAATATATTCAACAACTATGTCAGTGATATTTGTAGCGATTAGTAATACCACAAAACTGTCACCTAAAGTCTTTTGCCAGTCCCAGTGACACTGGTGTGTAATACTAGCCACCCAGGAAGCCTCAGCAATGAAATCAGACTAAAAGTTCAAGGCATGCCTGGGATACAGAATAAGGCAAATACCAGCCTAGGCAATTCAGTGAGACCCATTTCAAAATGTAAAAAGCACAAACTGCTGGGATTCCTATACCACGCCCAGATAAGAGGGATTTTTTTCACGTCTAAAGCCAAATATTACCACATTAACTAGTTAATAAATGAGATATGTAGCTTGTCAAACACTTGATACAGTTCCAGAATTTTTAAAAAAGTATACACACACAATTTTGTTTCAAGATAAATATATATATATATATTCAGTGGTTAGAGCACTTGTCTATCATGTGTAAGACTCCAGACTCAATTTACAGTACAAAATAAATAAATACTTCAGCTGTAGTCTTAATTTTGTATTAGGACTTCTACTACATTTAAACATGGCTACTGAGAACAAAAGTGAAATAGGAAACTTAACAACCAGATATAAAGTGTAGATAACAAGTCAGTCAATAAAAGATAATTTTAAGGATGAAAAGATGAATATGACTAGAGGACTTCATAATGATAAATTATGGTTAGTATGCTAACTGTACATTTGAAAAGTAGAGTCAGAAGGGTTTAAGAACTCAAAGGTGACAAAATATGATAAATGTTAAAGTATTATATATTTTAAAAGAATAGAATATAATATTACACATTTTTAAAAGAGTCCATCTCAGAAACTGTTTAGTGTTAATTGTCCAGAATTTACTTTTAAAATATTTATGGAGTGAACAATCATGCTAGAAATGGAAATCACTTAACTGAATTTTAAGCAAAAGAATTGAGACAATTAAGTCTAGAAATAAGTGGATTTATTACTGTATTTTCTTTTTTAATGTTTTCTATGGAAAAAACATAGTGTTATTTGTATTCTTATCTCTGGCTATCAACTTCAAATGGGACTTTTTATTATTGTTTCTTTTTGTATTTGTTTTTGAGAAAAGTTCTTAGAAGAGTTCTTGATATGCCTCAAACTTGGTATGGCCCAAGCTGGCCTGGCCTAGAACTCATGATGCATCTATGCCAGCTTCTAAGGAACTGGGACTCTAGGCATGTGCCACAATGCCTGCCTGAAGAGGATTTCAAAGCATGAAGGCTAAACAGAAAGCTACTGTTAATTGCCTGTCAGAAATTATTTCTTATCTGAATTCAATAAGACTTAGTGTTTTTCATTTTAAAGAAATTTTGGAAACATACACACAAAGAAAAGGGAACAAATAAAGTTAAGGGACTAGGGAGATTGCTTCACAAGCATTAGCACATGTGTTTTCATTGCTCAGAATCCATGTAAGGACTGTGGTGTGTGGCTGGGACCTGTAAGCCCACCAACTGGACAATAAGAGATAAAAGACAGGCAGACCCTGGGAAGCTGGCCATACGTGGAGAAGATTCCTGTCTCAGAAGGATAACCTCCACAGTTGTCCTCTGACCTCCTTAAGTGTGCTGGGCATACAGACACTTGGGTACTCACATATCTACCACCACACATGAATAAAAGGTAAAATACTTTCTAAATCCGGCCTATTAAGATGAAATTTTGTTTTCAGTAACATTTTGCTGTGTACCCCTCAAATATTTTTCTAAGAAATTGTATAATAAATTTTGTATTCTCATTTTTTCCAATTACTAGTCCAAAGTAAATATGTTCTTTAATAATTACATACTTTCTAGACATGATTTTAGTGGTATATTCTCCTGTATAAAATTAGTGTTTTAAACTTACATCAGTAGAGATAAAAACAAACAAAAAAAAGTTTTACAAATAAAAATAACTCCTATTGGCACTACTTTAAAAACACAGCAGGAAAGTTTCATTTCCCCATAGACATCATACATCTAGCCAATATTTTATTGAAAACACTGACTCAGAAAATATAGCAGTCAATACTCTCATAATTAAGGAGTGACTATTGAAAATATTATGATGGTAAAATTCTTACTTTATATTAATTTGACACCATAGCTGCAGCTGTTCAATTATGACACCCAATTAGAAAGAATGGCTGCATTTCATGTGAGATAATTATTATTAATGGAAATAGTATGGCAATGATTCATTGGAATTTAATTTCATACCCCATTCTGAAACTCATTAAGGTAAAAATCAAACAAAAATTTAGACCCTGTTTCAAGTAGAAATTCATTTTCCCAGAGATAATAAAATATAGCATCTTATGTTCATTTTAGAATATCAGGTCTAAAAACTTAGACTTCCTCATTGACAGAATAAAAATGCTTCATTTATTTGGAGATTTAAACATATTTGGTTCTCAGTGACTCATCTCAGGCCTTGTGCTAGGATTAATAAAGGTAAAAGATTAAATCCAACCTCACTACTTTCGGGTACATAGTGCCCTTCATTAATAAATGAGGGTTAGCAATCAACGAATAACAAGTGCACAAACAAGTTTTGTGTTTGGTTTTTGTTTTATTTTTAATTATGTATATGTATATGTGGACCTTGAGTTGGTATGTGAACACATGAATACAGGTCCCTGTGAAATCCAGAAGACAGTATCAGAAGTCTCTGGAACTAGAATTACAGGATGTTATGAGTGA